TGTTTAAGACCCGGTTCGACAAAGCCTTGGCTGGGATGATGTAGTTGGGGCTGGTTCTGCTTTGAGCAGGGTTTTGGACTAGATGTGACCTCCTGAGGTCCCCTCCAACCCTCATTTTCTACGATGGATGGAGCCTCTCTGCTTTTGTCAGTGGACATCCTGCTGCCCTCTCCCCTACAGCCAGTCCCTTGTTCCCCAGAGCATCCTTGCACTGATCCCCATCTTTTTTGAATGAAGTTATAACTTTCCAGGCAGCAGCATATCAAGGGTCTGGCCTTAGGCTTGCACCTCTGCTATTTGGCACTCAGGACCATGGTATCCAACCCACGGGGCTCACCATGGGTCCAGAAATGTGACAGTAGTGGAGCGGCTGTTAATGCTGCCACTGCTCCCTTATCACCAGATTTCCAGTGCTGTGGGGAGCACCATGGGCTGGGCAATGTGGCTCCGAAGGTCAGATTTGGCCCATGGGCTGGGGGTGAAGCACCCCTGCCCTAGACAACCTGTTATCAGAGAATATCGGCTTGGTCTGGCATTTTTTACCTATCGAGTGGGTTTTGGACTGCAGGGGGTCAGTCGATGATCTTCCTGGTCCGATCAGGCCTTGCAGCCTAGGAGGTTGACTTTCATGTGAGCATGGGAGGTTTTTCCCTGCTTTTGGGGAACCAGCACTCAGATTTTTTTTTTATTTTTATTTTTTTTTTTTTTTACCTGAAAATTGGAGGCAGCGGGAATTTTCAAACGGTGCTTGATAGATCTCAGAGAGATCAAAGACTCGAGCCCAGTTTGGAGAAATTGCTTGAAATGTCTTAAATAAGTGATTTAGCCTGGAAAACAGAAAGCTGAGTGGGGGGGATTTGATCACAGTCTTCAAATCCCTGAAGGGCAATGAGAGGGAGGCTGGAGATGAGCTTTTCTCTGTGGCTGCTGGGACAGGTCGAGGAGCAATGGCCTCAAGCTGCAGCAGGGGAAACTGAGGTTGGAGATGAGGAGGAGCTTGCTGGCTCTGAGGGTGGTAAAGCACTGGAACAGGCCCGTAGAGAGACGGTGGAGTCTCCATCCCTGGAAAGTTTCAAGAGCAGGTTGGATGGACACATGTCTGGGATGTTTTAGTCAGCAATGACCTTGCCCTGAGCAGGGGCTGGACTAGATGTGACCTTGCGAGGTCCCTTCCAGCCTGACTTTCCTATGAGCCTTTAAAGTGTTTTTCACTGACAGTCCATTTTTTTTCAGCCTGGTGTTTTTCTGGGGCTTATTTTGAACGCAGCGTTCGTGAAGGTCAGCACAGCTCAGGCCAAGTCGGGCTGAATTTACTGTGTACAAAGGCTCATGCATCCATGACTCTTCTGCTCTGGTTGCCCAAAGCAAGCCTGAGGGCTGAACCCTTGCTGTGAGCAAAGGCAATCTCACCAGGATGCTCTAGATAAAGGGAGCTCAACCCCTGGAGCCATGCAGTCCAGCTCCTGGGTGTCCACCAGGGTCCAGAAATTTAGCAGCGAGTGACTGGTAGCAATTGAAGCTTCAAGATTTGCAAGCCCCCTGCAGCTGAATTGGCTCCCGTCCCATGCAAAAGGATCGGACCCTAGTCTTGTGTGCCTGGATGGAGCCAGGGCCTGATCCAGCCACTCGGAAATGGCTCAGCTGGGGCCCAGTGCAAGTGCACAGGATCGGGGCCTGCATTCACCCAAGGCTGCCTTAGATCAGCTGGGAGAGGGGGGAGGCTTGTTACGGTACGGATGCCAGGAAGATATGGCAGCTAAGCCTGGGGAATGCAGGGCCAAATCCTGGCATGCAGCCTCATTGCTTTGCCCCAGGTTTGGACCCTGGTTGTGCCACTGAGAGAGCTTGAGATGGGAGCTCTGGTCCAGTCTCCCCAAGGGGCTGTGGGCTGGACACTGTCCTCTTGTGCGCGGCTGAGCTCTCGTTGCAAAAAAAGCCACCAGCCTCCTGGGCTGTATTAACAAGTGTCCCTTGCAAATCATGGGCAGGGATACTTCCACGCTGGTCAGCTCTGGGGAGGCCTCCCCGGGAGTCCTGCGTCCAGTTTTGGGGCCCACACTTCAAGGAGGAAGCAGACAGGTAGGAAAGAGTCCAGTACAGAGTGACTTGGGAGACCAGACTGACGAAGAAAGGCTGAAAGACCTCAGGTTATTGAGTCTGGAGGGGAGAAGGCTGTCTTCAAGCAGTCTCCATGTCCCTGAAGGGTGGTGACAGAGGATGGAGATAGGCTTTTCTCTGTGGCCACAGGGGACAGGACTAGACACGACAGCCTCCGGCTGCAGCAGGGGACACTGAGGCAGGAGATGAGGAGGAACTTTCTGGCTCTGAGGTCAGGCTTTGGACCAGGCTGCCTTTCACTCCGGTTGAATTGTTCCCGTCTCCCCAGGGCCAAAGGGCAGATGGCTGGGGGCGGGGGGGTCCCTTCCCTTCCCTGCAAGGCTCTGTCTGTCCCCACGACCTCCCCTTCTCTTCCCGCAGGGAAGTATTACATCGCCACCATGACCATGATCACGGCCTCCACCGCGCTGACCATCTTCATCATGAACATCCACCACTGCGGCCCGGGGGCCCGGCCCGTGCCCCGCTGGGCTCGGAAGCTCATCCTGCACTACATGGCCCGCGCTTTCTTCGTCTACGAGGTGGGCGAGAGCTGCAAGAGCCCGGCGCGGGAGCCCGACGCCCTGCCCAGGGTGCAGGTGGGGAACAGCCGGGACGGGGCCCCGCGGTCCGAGCCTAGCGGCCCCTCGGGCTGGCAGGAGATGGGCAAGTACGCGAACTTGGAGAAGGGTGGCAGGGCGGAGGGGCCTGTGCCACGGTGCCTGTGCCACCAGGACAGCTTGCTGCGCAACGTGGAGTACATTGCCAACTGCTTTCGGGACCAGAAGGCCTCTCAGCGGCGGGCTGGGGAGTGGAAAAAAGTGGCGAAGGTGATGGACCGCTTCTTCATGTGGGTCTTCTTCCTCATGGTCTTCTTCATGAGCGTGCTCATCATGGGGAAAGCGGCCTGAAGGGCCCTTTCAGCACCGAGGGCTGCTGCCCTGCCTTGTCAACCCACCCCCTTGCAAACCTTGCGCTCTTTTTGCCCGGCGGAGACTGATCCTCAGGAGGACTGTGGACCCGGTGCCCCCCCCCCCCCCAACCCCTGCCATGAGCAGTGTTTCTTGGGTAGGTGCTGGCTGTCAGGACTCCTGCGTTCTCTCCCTGGTGCCGGGAGAAGAGCGGAGGCTAGTGGTGAGAGCAGGGGAGGAGGTGCACCAGGTCTCGGCTCTGGGAGTGGGGCCCGAGAGACTTGGAGAAGAGACCTTACCTACCCGCTGGGGGTGTCGAGCAGCAGGCAGGGCAGAGCCGCACCTTGTAGACAGGTGGAGGCAGTGATGCCGAAGCTTTTGCAAGCAGGTCCTGTCCCCAGATGCTGTGCAAGGCCAAGTCAAGTCCCAGGTGTCTGCAGAAGCCCCTGAGGGCAAAGCTGTGTACCTGCTCATGGGTACCCCCATTCCTCTCTGGATGGGGAGTGCCCAGCTCTGGTTTGGGTACCAGGGCTGAGCCTGAGATCCCACAGCATTGTCCTGCACCTGGGGCAGCTACTGGGGAACAAGGCACCAAAATAAATCCCCTGGAAGCTCCATGCAGGGCCCCATGGGGGTTTGCAACCCAAACCAAGTAAGCATCTTGCAAATGCTTCCAGGCTTAGGAAGTGCTTAGAGACTGAATGGGATGTGCTGCGTCTTCCTCAGTGCCCCCATTCCCGGGTTGCTGTTTGCCATCTCTGTGAGCAAGGGCCGGGGCACGTTTGCACGGGTGCTATTTATGCCTGTTCAGTCTCTATGGCCCTTGCATCCAGAGTGGACAGGCTGCAGCTCTCCCGGGGTAAGTGCATGCATGTGCTATGGTACTGTCTTACCATTACCCAATGCCCCGTTTTGCCTCGAGCACACAGTTACCCTGGGCAAGCTGCAGACGCATGCCATCTACCCCAGGGCAGTCTCCCTCCTCCTTTCTCCGGGGTAAGCCGCCGCAGCATGCAAGCGACTCATGGCTTTGTAGCGGGCATCTGCTCCTGTCTCAGGCAGGCGCAAAGATCAGTTACCCTGGGGTAAGTGCGTTGTGTGTCCAGGCCCCCCATAGCCTGGCTGTGGGCCAAGGAGTTGAGCTGTGTTCCCTCTTGTGCCTCCATCAAGAGGGAACAGAGACGTCCCATCAGATGGCTCTTAACCCTGCCATGCTGGGTGGGCAGGAGGCTGGCAGGGGTCTTGCAGCTGGAGCCATGGGAGATCTCCTTTCATCTCATGATGCGTCAGCAGAGCTGGCACCCTCTTCCCATCAGCCAGGACCTCTCCGGCTGGCTGCAGCATGACTCGCTTTGCACCTGGAGCGTGCAGCGATCTGGAGCAACCATGCAGCTCCTGCTGTGGTCCAGCAGCCTGGGCCTGCAAGTCGGGGATTACCCAGGCCTGGCTTCACTGTGCTTGGCCAGGAGGCCTTCCAGGAGACAAGTTTGCTGCCCCATGTCCGGGCTGGGTACCGCAACTGCTAGTCCCATGCGTGCCAGGCATCGGCTCCTATGGTGCCGAGAGTCATCCCCTGCCCCCAGCACCTTTCTTATCCTAAGCCTTCTTGTCCCACCTTCCCTGTGCCCGTTCCTCTCCCCACCAGCATGGACAAAGCTGATGCTTTGATAAAATCCCCAGTTGCTGGCTCAACTTTGACAGGACACAAACCTTGCCGGGGTGGACTCGGCCATGTTATGGTTAGTGAGCTGCGCCTGGGGCGCATCCGCCTGCCTGTCTTTGCATCCTGTTGTCCTTCCCCACCAGCCCCCGGTGCATGGTGCTGTGGGCCTGCTAGGGTGAGGAGCAGAGTGGACCCAGGCTGTGTCCTGAGCATGCTGGTGCTGTGTTTCTGGGAGACATGGCCCCCCAGACACCCCTCCGTGCCCTTGGCCTCTGTCCTGCGCTGGCTGCGAAAACCAGCTCTGCTCTCTGGTGCTGCCCCTTAAGGATGCTAGAAAGGGGAGAATTTGCCTGATCACCCCTAGTCCCACTGAACCAGCCATAGGGACCGTCCTCCCATCCCTAGGCTTATTACTGCATCACAAGGGGCAGCTCCAAACCGCCCCGCCCCGACCTGCGTGGGCTCCACAAAGAGAAGACCACTGTCCTCCAGGTCATGAAGTGGTCCTCAACTGGGGCCACACAGCACTCGGGGAGGCCATGAGATCCTTTCAAGGGTGCCGTGGGATGCTGCGCAACACGTGCAGGTCTGTAGATGAGCAACCTGCCCAGATCAACCCGGAGCTTTCAGAGGGTGCGATACCTCCTGCCCTGCGCTGCGCTGCACTTGCAGGGCTCTTTGCAGTAGCAGAAGTGCTCGTCTTATTTTATTATTTTCTGTAGGCAGACAAAGGAGTGAAAGCTCAGCGCTGGCAGCTCCTGAACAGGGGCCTCGAGGCTGCAGAGGCTGCCTTTGAGTCACGGACAAACGGCTGGTGGGGCCAAGCCCCTGCTAAAGGCAGGACCACCCCTGTGCGAACCACCCCATGCACCGCACCGGCCTGGGAACACCCCC